GTGTCTTATTTCTTCTCAATGATCATGTCTGTCAAGGAAGTGAATGAAGTCAATAAAGAACCCTTCCACCCTGTAGATTATGGTAATATCCCAAGCAATAAAATGGAAACGTTCATTGTTCCAAATCAGGTAATCAAGTCTATATCATCTCTTATTTGTGAATATCTAAACTTACTTCTGTTCTCCCTTATTTGAAAGTTTGAAATTTTTATGTATACTCAACCTTCACATTTGTAGCAGAACATGGTAGTTTTGGAAAATCAAAATGAGAATCACGATGCTAATTTAGCTGAACATTGTTTAGCACCTAGAAGAAACATTGCTCTGTATGGAAGTGAAAGAAAATCTCTGGATCCGGAGGTTTTATTACCAATGATCCCAGCTTTTTATCTTTCTTTTTTCTAGTTTACCGTTTCTAGTATGCAGGCCTGAGGTTTTTTTTTTTGCCTTCTTTCTGTTTTTTGTGTGTAAAATGAAGAAGTTCGATCAAGTTTCAAGTCCTACTATCTGCAGTGCCTCTGGATCTTTCAAGGAACTATTTATAAATTTTTCACGTGGAGGAGCGCAAAGCTTATTGTGCTCGTCCTCTTTGGAAAGTAGTGGAGAACGAGAATCTGATGTTAAATCTATTTTCAGACCAGCTCCTCTTTCAAATAGAGAGAGACTTTTTTTGCGCAAGCAAGCACTCAAGATGAGGAAACGTCCTATTCTAGCTGTTGGTAGCAATCTTTTCTCATTTTCTCTGTACATGATTAGAACTTGTCTTTTATGAATGTTCATGCTTTTTTCCATGTAAAAATTGATTTTCCGAAACTTGAGCAATATGTGTACATATTGTCATTTTTCTTCTTTTTCGTGAAAATCACATATGCACCAAATTTGATGTATCCCACATCCAAAAAATTACAATTAAAAAAAAGGAATTTTATTGAATCAAAGTTGAATGTCATGTAATATATGTCTCATAAACCTTTTTTATATTCAAGTTCATGAAATAATTAACTCATGAAGAATCTAAAAAAAATACAATAGATTCATAAAATAAGTCAAATTAGAAATGTTGACTATTGAATTGTTATCACAACTTCATGGACTTTCTAATTTATATGCATTATTTTATTACTACCTTTCTTGCATTTAATTTTTTATTGGCTCTTGCAGGAAATCTTTCTACATTCAAATTCATCATTATTTTACCTTTGGCTTAGATTGCACATACCGTCTATTGCTTCAACATCAAGCTTATAATTGTTATTGTTAACAGCTATTTTTTTCTTTGCAGTTATTCTTATACAATTGAAATCTCAATAGTAGCAAATTTTATCAAAAGGAAAGGTTTTGCAATTAATGACCATTAAATACTTTTCTTTTTTTTACTTCTTTCATTGTAAGCTCGAAAATATGAGAGATTAAACTAAATGACAGTGCAATGATCAGTTTAATTTGATGAAATCAACAAGAAATTTGAATTATGAAGATCCAGAGAACACTCAATTTTAAGTGCAATTGAAATCTCAATAGTAGCAAATTTGATCGAAATTAAGGATTTTGCAATGCCAAAAGTAGCAAAGTGTAGAGATCACCAAAGTTAAAAAGATTTAGACCTCGCACCGGTACAAGGGGATAATTTCCCATAATAGGTTGCTTATCACAATTGACTGAACTAGAAGGATCCTACGTCTAAAAAGTACGTAAGATTGAAATCTAATTTTTTTTTTTTTGTATAAAATTTGAATGCTATACATGCCTCGTACATGTATTTATAAACATGTAATCCATTGTTTTCCTTAAGTTGGTAAGTTATGTATGATTCAGGTGCCATTCAAATTCAAGAAAAATTTTTAATTCTGTCCATCTAGTATAAAAACGGAGATCCCCATCACTATATTTCCGGTTTCTTCTTATTATTAGAACTCTTTTATTCTCCACAATTCAAGCCATCAATGTTTTACTACAATGTTTTCTTCTACTGAGCTCTATGAATCTTCCTGTTAGTCTGAACATTCAAGATGAGAATAGAGTATTTCGACTTAAGCTTTAGGCTGATTTTTGCTTGTTTAACCTGGCGGAGCAATGTTTAGGAATTATGATTACCCCTTTGAGGCTGGTTTTCATAAATAGAATTTGAAATTAGAACCTCTCTCCATTGTGCCAGGGCAAGGCTCCATTCATCAATCCCTCCCTTTCTCGCTCTATAGCTGGAGGCTCATGCACTGTATATATTTTTTTTATTTTACTATAATTTTGAATTGAAATCGACTTAAATATGAATTTAAAGTTTTTTTCTTTTTTTTCCTGGGAAAAGATTCTTAAACTGCTCCACTTTACTGGACTTAAATATCTAGGAAAGTTTTAAAGTCTGTTTTGTTCTATTTTCAGGAAGGAACAATATTCTGACTGGTGTTGTGAAAACAATTAAGACACACTTCAGGAAGCATCCACTTGCCATCGTGAACATTAAAGGGAGGGCCAAGGAAACTTCAGTTCAAGAGCTAATATTTAAGCTAGAGGTAAGTGCAGTCAATGTGCTTGGATTTGGTGCGTATTAATGAATCAATTTTTTTTCTCCTAATATCTTTTTTTTTTCTATTGGCAGCAAGCAACAGGGTCTGTTTTGGTCTCAAGAGAACCCAACAAGGTAATCTTATACAGAGGCTGGGGTGAACGAGACGTACCTGGAGGCATAAAGAAAATTGATGCGAACAAGGCGCCCATGGAAGTCAAGGAAGGGCTGGTTTCCCATCAGCTAATTGAAGCCATCAGAAGGGAATGTGGAGTACCATCTACTGAAGCACAATAAAAATTAGTAGATGTTTGCTGATTGATTTCAGGTTTGATAATTCTTTTTTTAACCCTGATTTGATTCTTAATTTGTGGATAGCATGAATATCTATTGTATGATGAACAAATGTTTTGGGACTGTATGCAAATATACCAAACTTATCAGGTAATCATTTTGATCAAAATTTTAAATTCTTGGCTGATTTGTGGTTGTATCCATTTCGATTATTGCACGAGCATTCTATGTTTAGATTACAACTGAATTGGGTTGCCGGGCTGAGGGCCAATATTTTTTTCTAAAATTTATATTGCATATGATAGGCGATGTTAACGAGATATGGACACCCAATGCCCAATGTGGTAAGCAACCCCAACATGCTACGCAGTCACTTGAGTGAACATTGGTTTTGAAAAAGTATTTAACTCATTTCACTATGAGGAATACTGTTGAATAATATAAAATATTGATCATCACATTATATATTTTAGGCCATATCAATAACTTTTTAAGTAATATTACACTTTAAGTTTCAAAATTTGCTAAATAAATTATCTTAAATAAAGTACCCAATATACAAATTTAATAATTAAAAATGCTTGAGCTATATACTTTTGTAATCTAGCAAAGCTTGTGGATAATCTGATTTTCATTACTATCTGGTTTGTCTTTATCATCATCCATACTATCTTCTTCATAACTAGATTTATATCCCGACATCTTTTTTTTTCTCCTTGGATGCATGTTGAAGAGTTAGCACTTACGGATCTTTCACCTGTATATGATTTAACTTGTTTTCTAGTAAGCATCCTTCTTTCTTGATTCTAAAGTCTTTTCCAAATCACTTAATGTCAAATTATTAGCATAAAAGATCAACTTATTTTTTATGTTTTAAGTAGTAGCACCCATTCTAGCAATCAAGGCAAGAGACTTCCGTTTCTCTTTAGTTAGTGGCTCCATGGACCATTGTATTGATGCAGGTGTCCAACACCCTACGTGGCAATTGCTGCGATTTCCTTTGCCCCATACCGTTTGGTCCAAGCAAAGGAGGGACTAACCATTCCTTTCGGTCATTGGCTTCCCTCCTATTTTGAGACGGGGACCCACTCCTCTTTATCCTAGGTCTATAAGTATGTTGTGGTCGTGCTTTATGTCAGTTTTTTATTGTATTTCTGCCATGACAGCAATCAACGCCCCTTGTTTTCTCTTCTAAGACTGTATTTAAGGGCAAGCGTTGTTACGACTATATCTCGTTCCGAGTTGATGATTATCTTTAAATTGTCGAGTGATGCTCTGGCTGTATCTCGCTGACGAGATGATTCTCATCCTTCGACAACTCCCCCTACAACCTTTCCTCTGCTGCCGCCTTCACTGTATGTGTTGCAACCACCAAAAACAGTCTCTTTATTGTTTTCTTGCAGCCCCTTCCATGTTGCCTGCTATTTCCCTCATAGACGAGGGACAAGGTACCGATATTTGATGGTGATCTTGTTGATAACTTGGCTATCGATGCTCATTCTTCTGTAGCCGTTTTTCTTGGGTACCATAAGAGCGGGAACAACCCACTCCTGGTGCTATCTCTCACTAATCTCCTAGTAATGCAACCCTGCACCTAACATTGTAACTTCTCGTACTTTGCTGCCCTCAACTTGTATGTGAGCCTTTTTGGCAACAATGGAAGATAAGATCTACGGTATGATGGATATCTCTCAGCAGCAGTAAACACTTTGGCAGGCTGTCAGTCATCATCTCCTGAAACTCGACTAACAACAACTTGACCATCTCTGGTTGATTAGTCTCCTCAGTTCCCTTTAAAGATGACTAACTCCAGTGCCACTGAGGCTTCTTGAATTGACCACATAAAAGAAACAACTTGACCATCTCTGGTTGATTAGTCTCCTTTAAAGATGACTAACTCCGGTGCCACTGAGGCTTCTTGAATTGACCACATAAAAGTGGTGCGTGGTACTTTAGGCTTATACCCTACAGGTGTAACTGCTCCAGAATCCTTGATGGTTAAGAGAATGATGTACTTCCCATCTGTGAATGCGTAAGTGTTCTTGAACTCGTCATGTTGTGTCTTGTAATCGAACTGCCACAGTCTCCTCGATAGGATGTGGCAAATATTAATGGGCACTACGTCACACCACACTTGGTCATGTAGTCTCTAATAGAAAACCTTACAAGGCATTGCTAATCCACTCGTATCTCGTTTCCTTTCTTAAGCCACGTTAGAGAATAGGACTGGGAGTGTTTTTGTATAGTCAGATCCAACTTCTTCATCATGAAAGCGGAGTACACGTTCACATCTTCCTTTGTCAATGATGAGGTTGCGAACTTTCCCTCTCGTCATACACCTGGTGTCGTGCACCTCAACCATGAGTGATTCCTCTGTGATTATGTCTGCAGAACTTTTCTTACAACCATGATCCTCAGTTGTTTCTTTATCACTTGCTTTCTCCACGGCAACCTACTCGGTAAAGGAAACCACTCGGTTCATTGGGCAGTTGGAGGTGATGTGGTCATATTCGTGGCATCAAAAGTATATTAGATTGAAAGGTGTGCTGCTCTTTTCAGGCTTTTCTCAACTCTAATCTGTCTTGTCAATACCTTGTCCAGTCCTTCCCTATCCTCCTGGTGTGCTCCCGTTGGGATCTTCCGTCGTAGGGGGTTGTCTAAATTGAGGTGGGTACCTCTAATCTCTCTATTAATGCTCTACCTTTAGTGCTAAGGTTTGTACATCTCTTAGTGTCCAATAAGTTTGCAACTGGACCATATTATTGATGGCAGGCCTCAGGCGTCCCAAATACGTGGCTATGGAGTGCTCCTCTATCTCTTTCAGTTCATAATTCAATTAGGACTACATAAATTATGCCGTGTATTCCTCCACTGATAGCTCTTTTTGCTGCAAGTAGTAGAGTTTCATGAAAATATCATACTGGTAGTGCAGGCCAGCTTAGGTAGGTATTGTTGTTGCATCACCATTTTCATCTTTTGCCAAAAAGTGACTTTTATCTCGTCGACTGCTTAGGTACGTATTTTTGGTCCGCTTGATGGCAACGAGCTTCACGCTTCTATCATCGAGCACATTCTTATATTCAAAGATCCACTCAATAGTCTTCTTCCACTCGAGAAAATATTCTAGATTTGTCCTCTCATTGCTGAAGTCTGGTAGGTCCATCTTAACTCCCAGATTTTTATACCCTTCAGTAGGCATCTCTTGGCCTCCTTTGATACTGAATTTCGAAACACCTGATTTGATTCTCCTCATAATTAAAATCATCCCTATGAAAGGGGTTTAACTATTCTTCCAACTATTCTCCACAGATCTCACTATTACGGTCAACGGTGACCTCACCCATGGACCTTTCCTCAATGAGCTCAAGCCGTTATAGCATTTGGCGGAGTATTCGTATGTCATCCATGATAAAGTCTTGATCAAGTTTCTACAATTGCCTTCTCGGTGACATAGTTAGGGTTTTGTGGTGGATAGGTGGAAGGAGGTGTGAAGGGTGGGGGGTAGGTTTGGGTATGATAGATGATAGAAACCTTAGGACATGACTAGGATTAGGATAACTCTGCTACTAAATGATATTAAAGTTAACCCAAACGAAAATGAGAAATACAAATTTTATTTTAGAAACAAATATTGGTTGCAATAGACACACACCTAAATAGGAAATAACAATAAACACTCAACACAAACACCAACACCAACTAGGGCGTGGATCAATGGTGGTGGTGTTGTGATTGTGGGAGGAATATTGAATTTGGATGGTTGGATGGTCGAGAGGTGACAAGAAGAAGGGGCTACAACATCAGGGGAAGGTGATTGCGGGGTGGGGGTAGTGGTGTTGAGTTGCAACAAGAAGGTTTTGATAGGTTGGTGGAAGAGTGTTGGCTAAGTTTTTGTGGCTGGAAAGGGGCGGCAACAAGGCTTCAGGGGCTAGATGGAATGGGTGAGAGCTGGATAGCAGCAGGACTGTCGAGTAAATAATTCCTACAGGGATGGTAGCTGGATAGGCAGCCGAGATGAAGATTTGGGAAGCAGTGAAGGGTAGATAAACACTATATCAACACGAGTTACTCTCAAAGTACCTTCTCACATTCAGCTACACTGGATGATGATAGTTGTCCTGACAGAAAGTCGAATCAAAAGTTTATATATATATA